TTACACATTCTACAGATCCTAAGCAATAATGGTGCCCTGTTAAAAACTGAACGTTATCCTTTCCCGTAAGAAAATATTTTACAGAACCAAATGAAACCTGACGAAACTAAACGAAGCACTGAGCTACTTATGAACTGAATGCTAATTAAGTAAAAAAAAACCCTCATATTTGCATGTAACAGATTGTGTAGCTTATACACATGGTTGTATTAGTAATATAAAATACATAAAAAACTTTCATTTAAATATGAAATGAAAAACATTAAATAAGATATAAAACCTATGTATGGCCCAGACATATGCTCTGGCTACAAATACTTTATGCATAATGATATAAATTCTTCATTACTCTTATAACTATTTCCATGAAAATATTAACAATATGGAATACAGTTCAGATTTGCCTACATTTGCAAGGCTAAATTATGTTTGTGTGTGAAATTCATAAAGACCATCTGCGAACTAAAGACACCACCTCGGAGAAAAATGTTTGCGAAGGCATTCCTTTAATTGTAAGTCACATAAACCTTCAGAAATTGTTACTTTATCCATGGGCTTGAGCAATTGTTTTGCAAAAAGTATTTTAGTTTCAATTCAATGATAATTATGTTGCCTTACTAAATACCTCTACAACAGATCAGCAGTTTGATTGTCTCAGGTTACATTAGTACTAGAGGAACGAAACTGAAGAAGATACTCCTGGGTTTAATATAAATACTGTTTCCTGTTAGTCATCTTAAATTAGACACTGACAGTAATTTACATGACTGTATTGGAATTTGCTAATTTGCTATCTCCTAGGTCTCCTGGTCCATTCCTTATCCTGTCCTCGTGCAGGGTGGCGGCTCCTTCCCCCACCTCTACCTGCATGTCCTTGCTGCTGCCTTGGGCCTTCTTCATCAGAATAGTGCCCCATATCTTCAGGCTCTTGCTGTGGATCACTGGATGATTGTGGGTTCCACCTAGCATTGATACCAGCTTTGTGTTTATTAAACCTTTCTGCATATGAACCTTGCTGTGACCTGGTGTCCTGAGCTGGGATATTACGCCGTGGGCTTCTTCCCACAGCTCTGGTATCCTCTCCTTGATGATCCAAATGACGACTCTTCCTTGATGGACGCCCACGTCCTTGAGGTGCTTGATGCGGCAAGGAATCTGCAGCATCTGAATAACGGCTGTTTTCAGAAGGCTGTTGCTGACCTCTTGCCTGTTTTCCTCTAGCAACATTTTTAGAATATTCATAGTCATCGTCCTCTTGTTCATCAGGGCTATAGTCTGAATGGTAGCTGTTATTGTCTGAAAGTTTGTGGTTGTCCTTTATTTGACGCCTACCAGTGTGAGCCATCTCATTGTCCATGTCGGACTCCTCTTCCTCATTAAGTACTGGAAACTTTCCTTCCACTGTCCACTGAAGAATGCAGAAATCACGACTGCCAGTTGTGAGGAGGTGGGTGTCTGATGCTAAAAACAGCATGCGTGTGACTGGACAGCTATGACCTCGCCACTGGTGATAGTGAGCCTACAAAGAACATGTTTATGTAATTTTACAGTTGATACTAAAAGTATTACTAAAAATTAAATTATTACAGTACTGTTTTGAAATTTAATTCATAAGAATTCATAATGGTTTCTATCACCTCTTCAAGAAAACCCATTAAGTTCTTTCAATTTAAATTTTATTTTGCAAAATTAGTAAGGTGCCATGGAGATGAATGATACAACCAAATTACTTACCCCAGGTTGACTGCATGGGAATTTAAACAAACGAATGTATCCTAACTCATCTCCGACAGCAAAAACCTTACGTGACCAGGACAGATCGGAGCTGTTCACAAGGTTGCCATCATCTGGTTGAGAAGGCCAAACACCTTCAAAAAACAACAAGTTATTACAGAATGTCAAGTTCCACCAGCACATTTTATACAGCAATTTATTGAAGCAAATGTAATGACGCTAAATTATGTATCAGACTGGGTTAATCATGTGACAAAAAGATGCCTACACCACTGGAAATGAGCAGAGTGTGTAATGAACTTTTTAGCCAAGAGCTCCCTGAAAATTAGCCACAGATTTTCAAACTGAAATATTGCTAATTTGGTAATTGATAGCAAGGTGAAAGGTAACCAATCCCAGAGACTGTTGTGTGCGGGACATCCCAAAAACAGCTGCGGAGGAGACTAAGAGACCAGCCTCTGTAGCATGAAGTAAGTACATACAGTAGAAGAGTTCCTAGTCTCTCTGGATAAGGTGCTGATCCATCACAGGTTACTCTGCATTTTGTTAAGTTAGGCTGCCCTGGCAATTTCCTGGTGTCCATTTGTACTTGTGGGTGCATGGCAAGAGGCACTCTCAGTGTAAAAGAGTCTCACTAAGAACACGGACAGTTTATGCTCTCTACCCCGTCCCCCTTACACCCAGTATAATAATATGGCCATTTGATCAATGTATCATAACCTTGAAAACGTAGCTTCCCTGAACCAAGCAAAATTAAGATTTTAGGTGCTACCTGCTACATCATAGCCCAGCATGACATTTCTTGTGGACCAGTCAACATCGCGAATAATATCCTGTGATTCTTCTCTTTGAAATTCACCAATTTCCCCTGGAAACAGAATCATTGTATTAGAAAGAAGACAAGGAAACTAACATTACAGCCAAGTACTTATTGGTAACAATAAATAATTAATGTCTGAATAATAATTAATACTATAGCAATAAACAATAATTAATAACTAATAACAATAAAGAGGCATGCTCCCTTCTTAGGGTCATGACATAAGCATTTTCCTGTACATTTTTTCATGAAGCAACAGTTCTTGTGTGTGAAAATGACATCTTTACAAAAATCTCTTTTTAATCCCTTCACCATGGATTAGTCCCCTACAGCAATGCTAAAATTTTATAAAAGTTACAGTGATGGTGATATACTTACAAACAATATGCTCATAATCGGTGGACAAACTTTGAAGGAAGCAACCATCAAGTGACCAGTCCAGAAACATGATTGGTTCACTGTGACCCTGTCAAGAAATAACCATTCAATAATCTATAGATTGAAATGACCAGTAATGCTCACAATTTGTATTGCAGTAACTGTGTATCAGCATCCAAGACAAGCGTTGTGTTGATTTTGAAAGAATTTATTATTATAATAATGCTGTTTACAAGTTGAAATTAATGACAAAACGATTAGCACTTCCAATGGACTCTGGATGAAGGAGCCTGGTTTGGTTTTGTGCTGTTGAGTAACACTTTTCAGTCTTGCAGGGCCTCTCCCCACCAGAAACCTCAGCTGTGATAAAATAGTACCATATCCTGCAGGAGTGGAGAAACTCCCTGCTACAGAAACTGGGATAAACTTCAACTCTTTAAGTTACTTTGGCTCAAGTGTAGATCTTTTACCAATTGGGTTAGTTTGGCTAAATAAGATGAGATCAGAACTGAATCATACTCATACACCAATGAATTGCTCCACTGTGAGATAAAGTGTGAGTTCCCTGCTTGCTACCTGCCATGACACAGAAGAAAACTCACCGAACAACAGCCAACTCTTCTGTACGTTGTCCCCTCATCATACACAGCATGAACATAAATGCTGCCATCATGGGAAGCAACTGCAATGTGTTCGCCATCTAGAATGAAATCAAACAAATCAGTAAATAAAATATACCTTAAGTTTATTACACTGTATATTTTCATCTGTGCTAGATGTCACCTGCATAAAAGGAAAATCTGTTTTTGAGCCTAGGGGCCCATCTACTGTAGATGGTTTCTGAACCAACTAGGAGTCTGTCTAAGTCACACGAGTCCATTACAGGGTTAAGTATTTATAAAATAATGTATACGCCAGGCAGAGACGAGCCCTCTAAGAGTAAAGTGTCTTGCCTAAGAACACAACAAAATGACCCAGTAATGGTTCAAACCCAGACCACGTGATCCAGGGTGCCAACTTTTGAGTCATCATCTGACCTGCTCTATTAGATTCCCAAAACACCATTCTGTGGAGAACTGACCCAAACATGCACATTTCATTGCATCAAGAATGCATGTTTCTGTATCTCAAGGATGCATGTTATACAATTCACCTTTTGCATATTCCAGATCAGATAGGGGGACTGTGCCATCTTGAAATGAGGCAATATGCATTCCAGAGTCACATGACAAGACCATCCATCTGTAAAACACAGTCGCACAAGTCAAAAAAAAAGTTTGACCATAATTTCAACATTATTTTCAATTGGTAGAAAACTGCCACATACCTTCCTGCAGTGGTGCCTAATGCCAAAATATCACCAGTTGAATAGAAATCTGCTGACTTGACAGGAAACTAAAAAACAAAGATCCAAGTTAGGAGCAAGCATTTGGATCAGTATCGAACAAACATTAATTAAAAGAACAGAATGATAATTTAGTGAGGGTCCAAAGTAAGTCAGCATGCAAAGAGAGTCTTGTTTGATAACTTGACACTGGTGGATTTTTTCTGTCCATCTAATACGCGGATTTCATGCATCACATGAATGTGCAATGTCATTCCGTCAGTCTGTTGGTCATTCATTCAGTCAGTCACTCAGTCATTCGGTCTGTCGGTTGGTCTGTCAGTCAGTTGGTCAGTCGGTCAGTCAGTCGGTTGGTCAGTCGGTTGGTCAGTCAGTCAGTCTTTTGGTCAGTTAATATTGAGCAAACATTAATTACAAGAATAGAATGATATTAGTGAGGATCCAAAGTACATCGGCATGCAAAGAGAGTGTTGTTTGATAACTTGAGGCTGGTGGATTTTTTTCTGTCCAGCTAATAAGCAGATTTCATGCATCACATGAATGTGCAATGTCATTTGGTCAGTTGGTTGGTCAATTGGTGGGTGGATCGGTCAGTCTGTTGGTCAGTCAGTTGATCAGTCAGTGAGTTAGTTATTGCATCTAGAGCAGTTCTGATGGCACGTACCTCCACCTTGACTGTCCAAATAACTTGATGGGTCTCAGCATCCCACAAAGAAACCGAGTGGTCCAGTGATGCACTAATAAACTGTGTCTCACTAGGGTGCACTGCCAGGGCATGAACCTCGTCCTTATGACTCTGTGTATTAAGAAAGTAGCAATTCAATTGTAAATAAGTTATATTCTCATGACTTTGTGAAGTGGTTACTGGGCCTTGGGCACCAAACCATGGCATGATAAGACCCACGTAAAAAGCAGTTTTATTTAAAAGTAAATTTAACTATAATGGTCATTAATAATTACAAGGTAAGGGTTGAAATTGATGTTGCTGTTACCACCTTAAACTAAATGTATCTGGGCGGGGGGGGGGGG